AGCATCGAAGATACTCTTCGAGCGTTCGATTCATTCGCTCAGTTTGTCCGTCGCCTTGGGCCCGGTGTGCTACTGTCATGCTGAGTGACGTGCCGATAGACTTGAAGACGTGTTGCCAATACGCAGACACGAATTTTCTATCTCGGTCGGATACAATATTCGTCGGCATACCGTGAAGTTTCCAAATGTTGTCGATGAAGAGACGGGCAACGCCTTCGGCTGTTACCTTCTTTGTTGTCGGCACAAAGTGGCATCTCTTGGTCAGTCAATCGACGACGACCCAAATCGAATCAACGTCACGCTTCGTTCTAGGCTAATCCGTTATGAAGTCCATGGAGATCGATCTCCAGCGCTCATCGGGAATACTCAATGGTTCGAGTAAGCCAGGAGGCTTTGTCAGCCTTGGCTTGTTTCGTCGACATGGTTCGCAGTCAGCAATGAACGTTTGGATCGACTTGAGCATCTTGGACCAGTACCAGCGTCGTGCTAACGTCAAGTACGTTCGCTCGGCACCAGGATGGCCACTGTAGTTGGTGTCATGACTCTCCTTGATTATCGATTGTCTCAACTTCACATCGTTGGGAACAGCGATTCGAGGATGGTCATCCACCGGAGACTGGTACCACAGCAAGCCGTTTGCCTCCGAATAGTATCGGTATAGCTTCTGGTGCTGGTGTTTTTCCTTCGACTTTGAGGTGCTTGTACGTCGCTGGATTGCTGCCCGGATTGTCTGGACATCTCAATCTTTGACGTAAGCACCCTTGATCCTCTTCAGCAGCTCTGAATCTGTAGACACTTGACTAAGAGCAAGACTGAAGGAAGTGTCGCTGAAGCTGGACACCCAGGTCATGGAAATACTTCGTATCTGGCTGCAAGTCAGGTCTACGACTCAATGCATCCGCGATACCGTTCTTCGCACCTGGAAGATACGAGAACGTGGGCTGGTACTCAGCTAGAATGTCGTACCACCTAGCCAATCGGCGGTTCGCCATCTTCTGTGTGAACAACCCTTCGAAACTTTTGTAATCCGTCTCGACGATCGGTGGTTTGTCCAAGCAGTAAATTCGAAAAGCTGCTAGCGCGTGTACGATAGCAAGTAGCTCCTGCTGCTGTGTTGGATAGTTGAGCTCCGCGGATTTCATCTTTCGACTGGTATACGCAATGGGTCGCTCAACTCCGTCCACGACTTGGAATAATACTCCACCAACAGCGAATTTGCTTGCATCAGTGCGCAGATGCATGGACTGGCTGAAGTTAGGGAGGTGCAACACTGGAGGATTACACAGTCGCCTCTTCAGCTCCTTGAAATTCTTCAACTGCTCATCATTGAATTGGATCTTCGCGTTCCTCTTGTTCTTCTTCTTCAAGAGAGTGAACATTGTTGCAGTAAATGCTGCGTAGTCTGGACAAAATCGTTGGACGTAACCAGTCAACACAAGGAAGCTGTGAAGTTCCTCTTGTGTTCGTGGTACTGGCCAGTCCTTGATGGTTTGTACCTTGTCCGGATCCATCCGTACACCGTTGCGTCCTACGAAGTCTCCGAGACACGGAATCTCGTCGGCACAGAAGACACACTTGGCAAGCTTGACGTACAGCTTGTTGTCACGCAGGATATTTAATGTCTTGCGCAACGCCTTCAAGTGGTCGTCGATGCTCTGAGACTTCGTGAAAACGTAGATGTCATCATAAAACGATTTGGTGTTTTCCAAACCTCGGAACAGCTTTGACATTAAACGATGCATCGTCGCTGGCGCATTACAGACTCCCATGGGCAGAACAAGATACTCCCAGAGTCCATTTGGCGCTTGAAATGCTGTGAACTTGATATCCTCTTCACGCATACGTACTTGATAGTACGCGGACATCAAATCCATAGTGAAAACCAGTACGCTCCGGACATCGCGTCAAGAATGTCCTCCTTCCTCGTCATTGGGATACTTTGACGTACAGTGTTGGAGTTCAAGTACCGGTAGTCGTGTACAATCCTCCAGCCAACTGGTTTTCGTACACAGAAGGTTGGAGCCGCATGTGGACTGATGCTTGGACGGATGAGCTTCTTCTTCACCATGTCTACAACCCAACGCACAATCTCGCGTTGCTGCTCTGGCGATTGACGCCATTGTTGCCGATACATTGCAAGATTCGGATCCTCCACGTCAATCCTATGCTCAATCTCGCGTTTCTCGGGTAAACCTTCTGGGAGCTCAGGACGGAACACATTGTCCATGTACTCCATGAGTAACTGGTACGCGGGATTCCCCTTGAAGCTATCCCAGTCCGTATCCAGATACCGTTGTGCTTTCGCACTTCCGACGTTGTCGGGTTGATCTTGCCGCTGCAGTGAGCGAGCAACTTGCTTGATCGTCACGTTCGTCAGAACCAACATAAAGTCAGGTTCATCGATCGACTTGGTCTTGAACCTCAGGAACTTTCGTAGTTTCTTGCGAGTGATGAACTTCGTCTGGACACCAGCCTCGTCAACGACACCCATCGTGAACATATTTTCCACGACAGTGCCTCTGCCCCCAGTACTGCTGCTATCTCCAGCCTCTCGTACAATACCGCCGCGTTTCGACAATTCCAAGTTGTCCTTCACCGCCGAACCCTTACCGGCTGACGCGTCTCCTGGTTGTTCGCAAACAACTCTTGGGCTCTCTTTCTGCGTTGCGTCGCAAACAGTTTCAGCCGCGGACTTCACATCCGTTTCCAGCGCGGCACCTCGACAGGAATCGGGTCTTTTCGCCGATAGGCCTTTCGCCTCGACAGATCTCCGAAGCCCGGAGGCAATCACCGGTCCGCCTTCCTCGATCGGTCCACTGGTTTCCCCTGTTCGCTTCCAATGCAGAGTCTTCACTTGCGTTCCTTCGATACATCGACCTCTCCAGTCGATCTGCGGCTGCATATCCTCGAAGAATGGAATTCCAAGGATGCAGTCGAATTCGTCGGGTATGGCGTAGACGACAGCGATACACTTGTATGCCTCGCCCAACCCAGACACCAGGATTTCGAGGGAAGTACCTTTAGTTCCGTCTCGACAATCTGGTTGTCTCCAAGTTTCACACGAATGTTCTTACTAATGAACTTCGTGGCCTTGAGTCGATGTTTCTCGATCCACTGTCTGGACACGTAGATTGTGGCTGCTCCACAGTCCAACAGCATCCTTTGGGTCGAAATGGTCGCGCCACTAACGATGATTTCCCCCTCTACGGAGAACAGTGGACGCGACTTGTAGACGAGAGGGTTTTCGCTCAGAACGTTAAGGCTGACATTCTCAAACTTAACTGATCCGGCTACGTTCTCTTCCACGACAGGACCCTCATTCACTGACGTGACTGCCCGTTTCCCTGCTTCTCTTGCTCCTTCTTCCAAAGGAAGCAGTTGGTCTTGATGTGGCCAGGTTTCTTGCAGTGGAAACAGGTACGACTTTCGGCTCGTTTCGAGCTAGTCTTCACCTTGAAACGCCCTTTACCACGAAACGTTTTTCCCTTGAGCGACTTGTCATGACTCGGCGCGTGCTCAGTGGACGGCTTCCGCTTGTCTTGGCGAGTGTGACGTTCGCACGACTCGTCGACGAAGTGTGTCACCTCATACTTGACCGCAAGGTCCATTGCGTCACTCAGGGTCTCTGGGTTCTCGAGCTTGACATAGCTACGCGTGCGCGGCTTGAGACCGTTCGCGTAGTATAGTACTTGGTCAAGCACGCTCATTCCTTCAACTCTGAAGATCAAGGCTGAATACTCGCCGTTGTAGGTCTCGATGTCCGCTGTCTGCTTGAGGCGTTGAAGCTTCTCGCGCAGGACAGACTGGTAATTCGACGCTTCCAAATGTTGGAGCACATGCTCACGGAAAATCCCCCACGTGTGCTCCTCCGCTCGAGTTGTCGACCACCAGTGCAGAAACCATCCGGATGCCGGCTTTTCCATTGCCGATCCGGCGATTCCAGAAAGACGCGCGCTCGTGTCTTCAATTGGAATGTTGTTGATGCGACAGGCGCTCACGATCTGGAACAGCCATTCGCGGACGTCTTCCCCCCTCTTGCCCGTGAACTTGGGCAGATGGCTCGGCACTTTCGTGCGGTCGGCCATCGCTTGGTTCAGCCGATCGATCTCGGCGCGTAGCTGGGCGATTGTTGGCATGGGCTTCTTCTGGTCAGGTTGCTGGGACCAACAAGTGCTACTAGTATTTCAGGAAACGCTAGCTTGGGGGAGGGCGCGCGAAACGAGAAGTGCCGCCCCAGCAGTTCAGGCGGATGGAACCTTCTAGAACCTTCTAGAAGGTTCCACGGCTGCCCTACATCTGCCTTTTTGTATTACATACTGAATCTATGTTAAACTGAGCCTGTCTCTGATTAGCTGAAACTCTACACCTATCATATCTGATACAGTGCTGGTCTGTCGTTTTAAGGTGCAGAGTGAGACGCAGAAGCTGCTCGTGCTGATGGACTTCCCGGAACAGCCCACGACGCCTGCAGGGCCTACTGTGGTGTTAAAGTAGCTGGCCTCTGCGTTAGGCATTCAGCCAAATGTCATCGTTGACGTGAAGCGAGCGACCACAGATCGACTCGTTCACGTGACATCTGCAGGTTTCACTACGCTCGAGCCGATCTGTGTGCAACTGGACAAGTATGACGTACGTGGTGTCGCTGTTACTGCTGGAGCACCCGCCGATAATGCGTTGAACGTGGACTTCCAAAGCCGGTTCTTTGCTCCTCGTGGTGGGGTGAACGAAGATCCGGTTACGGGTTGTGGGCATTGCGCCTTTGGGCCGTATTGGGCCCCACTACTCGAAAAAACGAAAATCAAAGCACAGCAATTTACACCTATTCGTGGTGGATACATCACATTGGACCTCGTGGCGGCTGGACCGGGTCGCGTTCTATTGAAGGGCGAAGGGGTTATCGTCCTGCGTGGTCAACTATCTTTATCGCCGTAACCTGCAGGTTGCTTCTAAAACAAAACTATTAAAGAAATGCAGCTTCATTGAAGAGATCTTAAAGTTTCCTAATAGTTCACCACTCTCTTGATAAGGTAATACGAGTAGTCCTTCCAAATACCCTTGAACCTCGGGTAGCCATGAATCCTGTCTCGATTCGCCTTCAGAACCTGCCGGAAAACGTCGTCTGCTGCAAACCCCTTCGAGTACCACTTGTTGAACTGTGCGGTCTCCAGCTTCTGGGCAATACTCTTTGATCTCCATCTAAGCTTCCCCACTAAAATCATCGTCGCCACCTCTTTCTCACCGAAGACGTTCGTCAGAGCGGCAAGCATCGCGCCCTCTGGGTCCTGCTTGTTGACGTTAGCAGCATGCTGAGCCCAAATTTTAAGGTTGGGGCTCGAAAAGAGCTTAGCCACCATATCCGTCTCGATAAAGTTGTTCTTGCCGATGTTCACCGTGCTCATCCTCAGCGTTTTGAAGGCGTCCTCTAAAGACTCGTCGGCCTTGAGCAACCCCTGGAGCTCCGTTGTCTTGGTGGATGTAAGGACTTATGAGATTTTGTTAACCCACGGGATTTTCGCCAACACTTCTCTCTCTTCGTTCTCTTCCTCGTCGGTATTATCAGCTCTCAGAAGCGTCTTGAGTGCATCGTTCCCTGCTTTCCCTGGTCGCGTCAGCAATTCCAACCAGGACACCAATTACCAACAGAACAAGGTGGCAGAACTTCATCACAGGGCTTTGAAGTCCCTTAACAGTTGAGCACCGAGTTTCGAAGAGAGATTTGGAAAGTGATGTAGAATCAACATCGGATCCCTTAAACTCCGAGTCATCGAACTGTTATCACCTTGCAGAATCGAGTGTTTACCACGACGACAGTGGGTGCCTTCCAAAACTACGGTGCGCGCAGCGCGCAAAAGCCCTCTTAGCGTACCAACTGCGGTGGGCTGAATGCATTACTAGGTGTTGCATGCAATAGATTTTGTTTTGAAAAACAATCTCAGAGGGTGGAGTAATAATGAGGGAGCAGTGCCGCAAAATAATGTTGCATCTTAGGCTGGTCATGCACAGCGATAAAAAGGCGATATACGTTGGTGACCAGATATGTTGAATTAAATTCTCTGGATTTTAATCCAGAGTAGCTCCAACAATCTGATCGAAGGTTTGAATTCCTAAACCAAAGCACATTTTACATACATAACTCTCGCAATCATTTCATATGGAAAGGAAATGAATTAAGTGGGTCTAGTTCCTCCCCAGTGGGAAAAGAAAAAAAGCGTTCCCATTGGCCAGGAATAGAAACCCAGATAGGTTTCCCGCCCTTGGGGGTAAGAAATTAATAAAGATAGTTGGAAGTGGATAATAGAGGCAGTCGCTCTTGCGATCTTATGTATACCGGTACCCGGAACATTGGGTTCTTCACAGAAGACTTCACGCCTAAAACGAACCGAACCAGAGCCACGGTTCTGATAATTACTCAGACCCCCTAAGAATCAGGAACTAAGTTCTGAGAAATTTTTTTGGGCTCAGAGCTTTAAAATGCGAACCGCGACTTTTCATCGACTGCTTCTTTCTCGAGCAACACTTGGATAGTTGCTGTGACGCAAGTGACGTGATCCTAATATATCGGTAATACTAGATCATACCGAATCCGTCTGAAACCAAAAACTAAATTAAAGGCCGTTATTGGTGGTAAGTCCCTTCAAGGTGTGGAAGACATTGTCGTGACCACAGACATTGACAGCACTATGTCTATCTTCTGCCACGCTGTGTTCTTGTCTAACGTATATATTATCGTGTCTGCTGTCGCGTAAGCCATGTTATTGGCTGCCACGCTGGTGGCTATCACAGCGGTTGGATCCTGGCTCATCATGCCGCCACCCTGGTATCTTCTGGGTATCTTTTGGAACTAGAGACTACAGGGACGCGGTTTGTGGCGAGATCGTCAAATTTGGTCTCATGGTACTCACATTGTGGTAAATGGCTCGCCAAATGACTTATATTATAGAACACGTTTTTTAACCAATACAGGGTAGGGTCCAAATTGCTGACTTTTGCATGTTACCATCTGGAATGCGTGAAGAATTGATTTCGCTCTATGTGTACTGTGAAAATGACGCGCTCTCTGTGATTTTGCATGTTTCCACTGTGAAAACGTATTTTTGTCGGCTACATTTTGGTCCAACGACTACAGCTTTTTCAAAACTTAAAAGTGCTAGAAATACAAACATGATGCTACCCGCTTGCATAACCCATTGTTATAATGTTTTGTGTAGCCCGTTATCATTCTTGCAGCCACATACTAGTCAAGCCGCCCAAATCCGCCGGCAGATATGCACTTGCCTTCATTTGAGCCATAATTCTACTTCTGCCGGCATGATTGCACGAGCTGAAGTAAATCTGCTGGCATATATGCTCTTGCTTTCGTTCAGAACACATGAAGTACCATTAATTCTGGTGGCCGATTTGCACCACTGTAAGAAATCTACTGGAAGATATGTACTTGTATTCATTTATGCCAGGTTATTAAATCTGCCGGCAGAATTGCAATACATATAGCCGTAGTAAATCTGCCGGCAGATACGCACTTGCTTTCATTCAAGCCATAATGTGACAGCTATCGGCAGAATCACCATTAGGTGGTGTAAATCTGCCAGCTAATTTACGCCGTGTTCGAGTCTTATATCTAATCCGGTAGCCGATACGCGTTTAATTTCAATATATGCTGCCGGCAAATTGTACAATAATTACAATTTTACTGAGTACAGATAGATACACTTCTGCCGGCAGAATGGCAAGATGATGAGTGTATCTGCTACCACATTTGTTAGTGCTAGTAATTATAGCGAAAGAGAACGACTTACGTGCTTTAGCAGTACAATTGTGACATTGACTATATTGTCATTCACAATAATTGATTGTTCTGAAATCAATCAACAATCACGATTTACTTGTTGTCTCCACACAAAAACTACACTAACGCGGACCAACCACTTTCGCAAGGGAAACCCAGATGCGTTGTTTTTCTTGTGCAACAAAAATCAAACTCAGCAAGTTATAGCCACGTGGCTTGAAGATTTTTAAGGAGTACATTTAAAGATCAATGGTTTATTTAATAAATCTGAGGTATTTAAACCACAAACCTTCAATAATCTTCGACATAGGTCGCAAATGGCTAACCGTGCCCGTTCGGGTAATGTCTAACCGTCACCACGAACGGGTATCGCTAACCGAAAGTTTGCCTTTCTGAAAAACGGACGGGTACGGGTAACCGACTTTCAGGATCGGTTGGTTATGGCTGGCCGAGCTCACCAGAGGATGGGTATTCGAAGATTTGTTTGCATGTTTTTCTTTATTAATAATTTTGGCGATGGCTCGCGCCTTTAGCCGAGAGAAGGTTGCGTGGCAGCTTATTTTGAGCGTAAATACTGAATTAGAAAATGGTATTTCACCTTTTTTCATTCTTTACATAAATTACATGTAATTTTCGGTTAACCGATTGCTAATTTCGGCCAGCCATGGCTGTCTGAACGGTCCGTACGGTTGGTCGAAGCTCGATGACCAGGACATTCGAACGGGTACGGTTAGCCGGAAAAGTACGTTTGCGACCTCTGGTCGTCGATCACATGGACTCCAATCGACTAGGCCGAATTAAATCAAGCTTGTCAACCAGTGCCTTATCACCAGGTGATAGAGATCTTGTCAAATCAGCACCTTATTGATACCACTTTCTGCCGTCACTCGCTTCCCACCAGCTTTGTGAAAGAGTTTATTTGTTGCTGCACTGCGTTTCAATCCCACTCTTTTATCTACCCCGGGCTTCAGCTTTAAATCCGGCCCATTAGGTCGGAAAGCTTACGGTCTACTGGGTCAATACTCACCACACCCAATCGCATTGCCCATGCTTTAAAGCCCAGTCGGGATAAAGTGACATGTCCCAAGGCTATTATTATACTAAAAAAAGGTAAGGTAACAAGCACAAATATCCAGCATTTAGATTGTGAGGATTGCAAATATTGATTGTATATTGCAATCAATCTACAATCTATATTTACACAGCCCTGTTCGAGATTCACATAGTGGAGACCTGGCTTAGAACGGTGCTAATATCCATGTATCCATGACTAATCAGTAATGTGTGCCAAATCTTAGCAACTAGGACCGACCACCTTACCTGACTTCTCCATTCCCAGAATAAGATTGAAAAAAAATCGTTAGTCCTGTTTGCCTCGAAGCTCACACATTCTTCTTTAGCGGGCTTGAATAACTTCTCAAACTGATACCCACTTTACTTGACTTCATTATGCTTCGACGCACTGGTGCGCTTACCCTTTTACGTAGCGTCCCATAGTCTGTGATCTTCAACTTGTCCAGCTGCTGTACTCGGCTAATACATTGCATCAGCACTCATAGTGCTTCACCAATATTCATTCCAACACGCCTCCCATGAAGCACATGCTGCTCACTAACTTGTACTTCATCAGGCTCGACAAATACCAATGAGCGCCAACAGAATGCACAAACGACTCTTGTCCAGCGGCTTTCTGAGTGCGTCTGCGGGGTTCTCGTCGCCTTTGACCTTATGCAACTCAATGACTCCTTTTTGAACATGTTCTCATATGAAAATGCCGTCGAAGTTCAATGTGTCTTGTTTTGCGACTGTAAGTTGGATTGGTGCCAAGATAGGGACAGTCTGATTGTCAATGCTGAGCTTCCGATCGAGTGTGAATTCTGGTACTACTTCGTGCAGTATGTTACTCGCTGCCTCACAAGCCGCAACATACTCGGCCTCCGCTGTTGAGAGTGGCACGATAGACTGACGGCGCGACATCCAGGAGAACGTACATCCAGCAATAGAGAACACGAATTCCGTTGTACTCTTTTGCGACCTCTGGGTCGTTAGCCCAGGCACTATCAAAGTAGCCTTCGAAGACTATAGTATCAGGTACTACAGCCGCACGATTGTACGTACCGCATTCCCTATGTTATCACGTACTATTTGTGATGACATTCAGGAGGGTTTCAGCCAATCAGGGGCCGACGGGAAAGACCCCAGTTATCGCATTCAGTCGTACAAACTGTCTTTCTGTCTGTGCATTTTGCCATCGGATGGCTCCTACGCAACGCCGCCGCACAGAAGGGCGACCACCACTTCCAGATGCCAAGGCCGTAAAATGAGGAAGAACCTCGTGTCATCGCTCACAGCGGCGCCCAAAGTACCCCAGTGCTCGAGGATGTAAATATCATTCGTGAAGGAAATCCTTATATCGGAGGATTTAGACATGGAGATAGGAGAATTTAGTTTGGACGATGATTTTGACGACATGTTCCGAGCCGATGCAGATATTATTAATCTACAACAATATTTTTTTGATGAACACTTTGGATAGACAGTACATGCAATTTCTGGTCTATGTGCAAACACTTTTCTGAATGTCATAACTAAGGAAATTCGGTAATAGCATAG